ATGAAATTCTTCTCCTTCCTCTATTCCTATGATCTGTAGATTTGGTCTTTTCGTGGTGTCCCACATCTCTTGCATATTCCATTCCTGTGTTTTTTAAAATTTTCCATACTCTTTGCTTGAGTGGTCCAACTCTTCAATTTTATCCTCCAGTGTTAATATTCTGTTTTCCATTTCATTCATTTTAGAGGTGAGGCTTTCCCCTGTTGATTCAAGTTGACTTAGTGAGTTTTATGCTTCCTTCTTCGTTTCTGCCCGTTTTCTTCAATGTTTCTACCTCTCTTGTCAATTCATTCAGAAGTTTATCCCTATCTTCTTTTATCTCTTTGATTTGTTTGTTCATGTGTTCTTTAAATTCGTTGAATTTCTTGATCATGTTTATGATTATTCTTTTAAATTCAGTGTCCTGAGTTATCTCTAGGTGTTTTTCCTTATAGAACTCTTCTACAGATTGGTGGGGTTTGGTGGGGACATAGTATTTTCGCTTTCCATTTTATTATTCTTTTGTTGTGGTTTTGGCCTGTGAATTCCTTTTGTTGTTTATGATTCTAATATGAGAATTAAATTGAAGTATGCTTCTGTTTGTATTATCCGGGTGCCTAGATCCTTTATTGATTATGTAAAGCTGGTTCGTACAGGGTTCAGGTTCTCTCAGGTTTAATTTGGAGGGAACTGATGGCTTCAGATCAGCTATTCAGGAGTATCTACAGAAGCCCAACTCAGGTTCCAGTCAAGTACACTCAGGCTTCCTTCACCATGATGCTCTCAGGCAGTTCCCTGAGTTCTCAACCCTATGCCAGAGGGAGGCCAGAGGGGGGTCAGAACTCGGCACTCTCTGGTGGTCTGCTGAGATCCAAGCCTCTACACAGATGGAGGTCTGAACTCACCCTCTCAGGCTGTCTGCTAGGATCTCAGCCTTAGCCTACCAAAGCCAGATCTGCCCTGGGGCCTTGGGAGGGGCCTCACAAATTCCCAGGTAGGGGGATGGTTATGTCGCAATTAGGGGAACTTCACCACCATGGTGGAGGTAGGATCTGGGGGCTCTCTGGCAGTCCCCTGGGTTCTCAGGCCCTCTGCTAATTGGAGGCCAGTGGGAGGCCAGAACTAGTCACTCTGAGTGTCTGCTGAGATCCAAGCTGCTAAACCAATGGTGGTCCAAGTCCACCCTCCACAATCTCATGTTTTAAATAAGCTTTTGAGTTTGTGGTGGGCTGTGTTCATAGCTACCTGGTACACACAGACCACAGGTTATTCACACCTGCAGAGGTTTTTGATTTTTCTGTATTTTCTTTCACAGATCTTAAGAAAACTCTAGCCGTGTTACTGGATAACATCTTACAGCGCATTGGCAAGCTTGAGTCAAAAGTGGACAATCTCGTCGTCAATGGCACAGGAGCAAACTCCACCAACTCCACCACAGCTGTCCCTAGCTTGATAGTGCTTGAGAAAATTAATGTGGCAGGTAAGAATGGTGGTTCCCTGAATGACTGTGGAATTGAACCCTACCTAGGATCCCCAGCACCATGGTTCTCATTGGTACAATACAAATTCCATAAAGACATTCCTGTTATGAAAATATGCTTATGTTTACATTTGAATAACAGGTATTAGAATGCTTTCACTTTCCCTCGTGATTCATAATAGCCAGTGGTTTCTCTGACACATGTGCATGTAATGAGCTCCTGGAATTGACTTCTACTCTCAGATTTATAACACAGGTTAAATGAAATGTAGATGTTATGAGAGAAACTCATCCCAGTTAGAATTCTTTCCTCTTCCCTACTCTAGTCAGAGAGTTTCAAAAGTCTATCACATAAAACTGGGTGTGGAACATGCCTATAATCCCAGCACTTGAGAGGCAGAAGCAAAAGGATCAGAAATTCAAGATCATCCTCAGCTATCTACTGAGTCTGAGGACAGCCCAGGCTAAGGGAGACCTCTTATAAAACAACAGAAACACGTAATGGCCATAGGTAGAAAGAATTTTAGCAGCAGATAAAGCTGTACTGGTTTATAACACAAAGTATGAAATAACTGTCACTGGCATCATGCAGATGTAAATGTATGATTGAACAAATCCAAGGTAGGTAAGAGAAAAAGCCACGAGGAGGAATTCAGAATAGTTTATTACTATACATATGTTACACCGGCAAGCAGAGAGACCATAACTACCACCATTGATATGGGATAACTATGACTGAGTCCCAAAGGTCACAAGCTAAAGAGAGGAACAAAGAGGAACTTTAGGGGCTGGGGATGTAGCTTAATTGATAGTGTGCCTGCCTAGCATATATGAAACCCTGGATTCAATCCCCAGCACCTCATAAACCAGGTGTCATGGCCCATATCTGTAATCTGAGTACCCAAGGATGTAGAGGCAGGAGGATCAGGAGTTCAAGGTCATTCTCAGCTGCATACTGAGTTTGAGACCAGTGTAGGCTACATGAGATCTTTCTCATAGATAGATAAATAAAAAAATAATTAATAAATACAATATTGGTTAACCAATGAGATAGAGGGCCCGAGATGCTGCAAGTCTAACATGACTTGCCTTAGCTATTGCTAACCATAATAATTCTTTTCTTCCCCTCATTAAGGTAGAGCTGCCATTGTACAAAAGTACCTCTACATGTACATAGAGCAGTAGCTATGGTGGAAAAGGCCTCATCCTAGCCCAGTGCCATGGACACCCATGGATACATCTTTGTGATTCCCACAGAAATGAATCTTGCTTGGCCCCTCCTTAAGATCAGAATCTTAGACAAGAGAAGGGAAATGGGTTAAAAGAAACCTAAGTCTTATACCACATGCTGTTGTCTACCTTTCCATCACAGTGTGCTGGATCGATCTTTTGGTACAGTGACCAGAGTATCCTGCAAAGGGCAGAAGGATTAGGGTGAGATGCTTTGGATGGATGGTTGTGAACAAGCTGTCTACACTTCTGATGAATACTATTCCTCAACTGTAATTAGGATATGAAGTAGCTGTAGTATTTTGAAATTTGAAGGTGCACACACTCTGCTTCAGGGACAGACATTTAATTCTTAACGTCTCACCACTGCTATGGCTCAAGGGCCCTAGCCTTCTCCTGAAGCATCAGCTTGCTCTCCAACAGCTGCCAACAATGCGCAGGTCACAGACAGGGCAAGTCAGGGCTCCTGGGACACAGCCTGGGATCTCCTATGCCAGCAGGCGATCTGTGGGTGACCGTGTCTGCTACAGTTTGCCATCCATCTTCTGGGGAGAAAGAACCAGCTGCTTCCAGTCCCCTCCACCACCATTTCAGACATCCTACAGAGACTGCTTTGAGGTACCCTCTGACTTCCAAGAAGGACATGAGGTCCTTTCTCATCCCAGCTCTGGCAACCACCAGTCCTGTTGTGTTGATGCCTCACCCATGACCTTGCATTGCCTGGAGGCACCAGGAATGACTTGGACAGGACATGGGGCCAGTGGGGGACTGCAGGGTCTACAGAGGAGCCACCCCCGGAGCCCTGCTGCCCTGCTGGAGCTCAGTCAGACAGGATAGTACTAAGGAAGTATGACTGTTAATAAAGCCAAAGAAAAATTAAAAGAGGCCCCAGAAGGCACTTTCTTGCTTAGAGATAGTTTGCATTCAGACTACCTACTAACAAATCTGTTAAGACATCAGGGTGACCAACTAATCTTCAGGTTGAGTACCAAGATGGGAAATTCAAATTGGATTGTATTATATATGTCAAGCCCAAGCTTAAACAACTTGACAGTGTGGTTCATCTGATTGACTACTATGTTCAGATGTGCAAGGATAAACGAATGGGCCCAGAAGGCCCCCAGAATGGGACTGTTTGTCTGTGTCTGACTAAATCGCCATACACATCAGCCCCATCCCTGCAACATTCCTGTCGACTCACCATTAACAAATGTACAAGTACCATCCAGGGACTGCCTTTACCAACAAGACTTCCAAAGATGACTTGGAAGAATATCAATTCCAGGTGTAAGTGATTCTCCTTTTTACATATGCCTCATGTGAAGTATCTCTGAATGCAGCTGTGGGAAAAAGACCAAAAACTGAGGGGCTGCTGGATAACTGCACCGAATTCTTCCTTAAGAACAGTGGGACTTAATCTAATTTAAAGGTGTGAAGAGGTAACTAGGTATTTTAAAGTTCCTCTGGATAGTTGGAGCTGAGTGATGCTTCCTTGCTTGTGGCTGATCAAGGCAAGATGACTCTTTTCATTGAAAAACAAAATGTCCCAGTACAGGCCGAGGGAGCATTGTTTTCAGAATGCCTTGTCTTTCTCAAGTTCCTATGCCATGGGTTAAAAGCACAAGTTCCATGGTAGAGAAAGAGTTCCATGTTGAATACTGAAGAAGGAAATGACCCAGGCTGATCAGGCTTAGATAACCACTTCTAGATGACTGACCATCCATCCGTTTTAGGACAGTTTATACTTTGCACTCTGAGGTACCTAGGAGTTTTGTTAAACCAGTCATGCTTGGATCTGTCCCTCATTTATGCAGTTAATCAGATCAACCAAAAAAAGTAACTATGAAATCCTGTATTTGTCTTTTTACTACATGTATGAACACTCTCCTGTGAATGAGTACTGTAGTAATCCATTTCAAGGGAGCCTTACTTCAGAAGCATTTCAAACTGGTGCAAAAGGAAAAGACTTTCTCTTTTTCTTTAAAGCTAAAGACAAGAATGTCATGCGATACAGGTACAACTCAACCGTTGACAGTAAAATCCAATGTAGATAGAGACCTTTTACCCCTTGAAGTAGCTGTGTCCCAAACTATTGCCACTGAATTTTTGGAAATGGTTTTAGAAGTTCCCAGGTCCTTGAATCATCTAACCATGGACATTAGCAGTTGTCCTGGTTATGTCCACCGTGTAGAATACTTTGACTTAATTTTCTTCCAGGTATAGGAGGAGACCTGCCTGTTTTTCAAAGTGTTTTATTTATTGCTGTTACTATTTGATTAGAGTATATTAAATTTAAAAAGCCCTGACTCTTACAAGTTGCATTTATAACTTTGAATTGTAGAGACTACATTTCCATGGTAATAAAAGGTTGTTGTAAAAACTTCTATCAACTGAAATAAACCAAGTCATCAGTACAAGGTAGAACATTAACTCACCTGTCTCCAAATAAGGGCTGCACCTACCCTTCACATTTTATAAAGGATGGTTTACAGACTATGAGTTGTTATCCAGCCTGGTATTATACAAATTGAATAGGCATGATACTGATGTTTTTCCTGATTTCAAAAGAAATGATTTAGAAATGACCTAAATTATATCATGACCTGATGTTTAACAAGTTGAAGAGATACAATACTAAATAAAAATGATAAGTTTTATAACCCCCCCCCAAATTTTTTAAATTGAGCTTTAGGGGACTAAGACTATGGCTCCGATGGTAGAGTGCTCGCCTGGCATGCACAAAGCATGTACCACATAAAACAGGGAGTGGTGATCCGTACCTACAATCTCAGCACTTGTATTTAGGAGGTGGAAGCAAGAGGATCAGAAATTCAAGGTCATCCTCAACCACTAGTGAGTTTTAGGCCATTCTGGGATACCAAGGAAAACTGTCTCTAAATAAATACAGGAGACTGTCTCTGAGTTCAGTCTTGTTCCACAAACTGTGTAGATTCTGTCTCCTCTTTTCTTGTGAAAATGCACCCACTTAAGAGGGGAGGGCTTTTTTTCTCTCTTTTTCACCTCTCTATGTCCAAACATTTACTGTTTCCCATATGCAAGCTGGTAGCATTACCTTTTGCTTATGCTCTATGCAAACTGTATTTCTAATAATTTTAAAGTAACCCACCAAAATGTTAAAAATAACTTTTAATTACAACCCAGAGACAGTGTCATCTAGGCCATAAATCCTGTCTTCTCTGCCGTTTCCAGCAGTTTCTGTAATTAGACAAGGGAAGCTCCCACCGTGTTGAGCTGCCTATATTAATAAGTGGGCCCTGTTCCTCTCCAAACTCAACTTCCCATGCCCATCCCCAGTAGTAGATATTTGTAGAGAGACACTGTCTGAGTTCATCATAGTTCTGTGCTATCTGATTTGGGAGGTAAGGTAGTGTTTCTTTTCTTTGTGTGTGTGTGTGTGTGTGTGTGTGTGTGTGTGTGTGTGTGTGCGTGTGTGTGTGTGTGCGTGCGTGTACCTGTGTATACAGGTGTATGTGCATGTATGTAGAGGCCAGAGGTCAACATCAGGTGCCTTTCTTAATTGTTTTTACTTGTTCAGATGGGGTTTCACTGGCTTGGAGCTCAGGGATTCTCCTGTCTCTGCCTTCCCAGTGCTGGGATGACAGGTGCATGCTCCAGTGCCTCACTTCTTTAGGTGGATAGGAGGAATTGAATTCAGGTCCTCATGGTTTGTGGGACAGGCATTTTTACTGACTGAATCATCTCCCCAGCCCCCATGATGGTGTTTCCTGCTTTTGTTTGTTGTCCCATGA